GATGGCACCTGGTATTTTTGGCCACTGTGTGACAGAGTGTCGGACTGGATGGGCCATTGGCCTGACCCAACACTGGCTTCTCTTCGGTTCTTATGTCACTTAACGTCAAAAGTGGGCAATAGAACATATTATTTTAAACCATTGGATAATGGAAATTGGATTGAATTAGTAAAACAGTAGTCATTTTACTTGCAGCAGCTAAAAATATAACCGCAGCAAAATGGAAAAATACCATTGGCCCAAGTAGACAGAATTGGTATTCCAAATTATGGAATATGTACATAAATGGCAAAAATAACAGACATTATTAATAATACATATATACCCTCTTCCAAGTCGGATTTATGTCCCTGTTTGGTTCCCTTTTTTGGAACATTTATCTCAACCAGAGGAAATACCGAGTATCATTGATAAGTTACACCTTTGGTAATAGGTTCTCTGTTTAATTCAGTTTGTGAGCATATGTTTACATAACGTGATTTGTTCCGCCTGCTATGTGTTATATGTTTTGTGGGTTTTTTTTGAAAAGTTTAATAAATTATAAATTTGTAAAAATGGGCAAATGCAGGTCTGGGTGGGGGAATACCGCTGGCCCTTTATTTATTAAAACCTCTATATCCTCCCTTCTCAGAAATCCGGTATCTGAAGGAGTGAGCAGTGACTCCCAAAAGCTCCTCCCCTGCCACAACTCTTGTGAGCCTTTCAGGTCCTCCTGGACCCCTGCTTTTTTGTACTGCCACAGACAGACTCACACTGCGGCCCGTCTTGATTTTTCCTCATGTTTCAAGGCAGCTGACGATAACACATCTTCAGCGACAACCGAAACTAAAACAGCCAAGCCCCAAATCCCTCTCCCCCCTTAAAAGACGCCTGCCGCTCAAACCCCCTCAACTGCCCCGGCAAACAGGCAGGCCTCACCTGAAGATCTCCCTGGAAATCTCTCTCCTCGCCTCTTTGGGGCATCCACTCCACGGAGCCCGAACCACGGTGGAAAAGGCCGGGCTTTGGTCGACGCCAGACGGGCCATGCAAAGGGGTGGGATGGCCCACAGATGACTGACGACCGTAGTTGCCACACGGGGAAGGAGCTGGTCCTTCAAACAGCCCTTGAGCAGTGTTCCCTCTAAGCTGAGTGAGTGTGAGCTAGCCCACCGTTCTTTAGCCTCTGGCTCACACATTTTTTGTCTTGGCTCAGGAAGGGATGGCTCCAGAGCAGAATCATTTATGCAGCAGCCAAATCGCTCGCGCACAACTTTTAAGGCCAGGAGCTCACAAAGTAGAATTTTTTGCTCACAAGACTCCACAGCCTACAGAGTGCATTGCCCTTGAACTATTTATTTTGTTCATGGAGTTTCCAAGGGCCTCAACCTGGATAGGCCAGGCAAGCCCGATCTCGTCAGATCTCGGAAGCTGAGCAGGGCCGACCCTGGCGAGTACTTGGAAGAGATACCAGCAGGTGGGATGCGGAGGCAGGAACTACCAAGCCACCTCTCTGAAAAACATCCAAGCCCCCACAGTAGGGGTTGCCAAAGTCAACCGTGACTTCCAGGCAAGCACACAAAACACACAAACACACAAAAAAGAGAGTTTCGGAGGGTGGCTGTGTGGGTCTGCAGTAGAGCAGTAACACTCGAGTCCCAAAACACCTCAGAGATCCACAAGCCTTTCAGAGTATAAGGGAGCCATGACCCTTGAAAGCATATCCCCTGAAACTCTCTGATATGCTTCTGGACTCAAATCTAACTGCAGGAGACTTTGTCTCTGGCTCATTGGTTTGTGCATGAAAGCACCTCCCCACCTTTGCCTCAGACACCCCTGAAATGTGGTAGAGTTTGGGACGATTCCATCCGGACAGCTGTCTCCTGCCTTTGCTGGCTGGGTGCCGTAACAATAAAATTCATTCATTCAGCTGTCTCCTGCCTTCATCGAGTCACTCTTTCTGGTTTGGTGTAGTGGTTAGGAGCGCAGGCTCTAATCAGCCATGGTTCTGTCAGAGCTGTTCTCTCAAGGGCAGTCCTCGAAAGAGCTCTCTCAACCCCACCTACCTCACCGGGTGTCTCTTGTGGGGAGGGGGAGGGAAAGGAGTTTGTAAGCTGCTCTGAGACTCCTTTGAGCAGTGAAGGGTGGGGTATAAATCCAATCTCCTCTTCTTCTAGTTGCCCTCTAGGGCCTCAGACAAAGTTCTTTCATATCACCTACTGCCAGATCCTTTGGCGCACGGACTCTAATCTGGGAGAACGGGTTTGATTCCGCAGTCTTCCACATGCAGCTGCTGGAGTGACCCTGGGTCAGTCACAAGTTCTGTCAGAGCTGTTCTCTTAAGGGCAGTTCTCTCAGAGCTCTCTCAGCCCCACCTGCCTCACAGGATGTCTGTTGTGGGGAGGGGGAGGGAAAGGAGTTTGTAAGCCGCTCTGAGACTCTGAGTGGAGGGCGGGGTATAAATCCAATCCCTTCTTTTTATTCTTCTTCTCTCTGCTGCAGTTTCCGAGGTTACTGTGAGCGAGCGTACATGATCCTCCGCTGCCACGGCCTCCTCTTCCTGCACCTCTTTGCGCTGATGAAGGCGGCCGGCCTGCCCGAACTCAGCTGCTCCAAAGACATTCAGTACCTCAAGGTGAGAGGGGGGTGGGAAGGTGGGCGTGGGTGGGTGGGGGTGCCTGCTGACATTTCCTCCAGGTCCTGGAGGGGAGGCAGTTCAGTTTCTTCAAGCACAAACACACCCCTGTTTCACATGTTCTGGAATCGGGCCTGGTGGATCCCGTTGGCTCCATTTGGGAGCTTTGGGCCACGTATAAGTCCAGCCTTTCGGAGCGTTCAAGGCCGTTCCTAAGCAGCAACCAGACCCAGAGTATTTCAGCGCATCTGGCTTGCTACAGGAAGCCCTGAGTTAGGTCAACTGTTTGGCCAGTGAAAGTGCCCCTGGGCAATGTTGTTCCAGTCACTCTTTCAGCCACTGAGTGGTGATGGTTGGTTTCCGAGGGCGGCCGTGTTCATAGAATCACAGAATTGGAAGGGACCTCCAGGATCATCTAGCCCAACCCCCTGCACAATGCAGGGAATTCACAAAT